GATAGACCACAGCCTGTCGTTTCCAATAGGAACAAATGAGTCAAAGTGGGCAGAACAAGCAAGGAGGTCGGCAGAGCCAAGCACGACCTAGCGAGAACCTATTGGCGCGATCTAGCAACATCTACATATTTTTGTTAGGGAACGCCTCCTCTGTGAAATGTGTGGGTGCAATAACTCAATTCGCTTTTGCACTCCTTCTAAACAACGCAATTTTTAAAAACTTTTGCAAAGGGTCAAGTCTACAAAACCTTGTCCACTCTGTTCGTTATAGATTCCAGTTTTAGGAACAGAAAACTGTATTGAGATCAAATGTTTCATAGATGAGAAACATTTATGAACATAGGCCAAAATCCATCTCGTTCCATCTTCTCCCACTGCCGGCTAGTGGGCTTCCTCTCACTACCATATTTGGTAGTGAGTGGAAACGCCAAGCTGATGCTTCACATTTATACATCTGGTGAAATATCTGTCTCATTGTTCTATCTGTGGTAAAACCTCTTAAATTATGCCCTAACCTAATGTTTGAGGCGCTCTATGCAACACCCTTAAACAATTCCTTTAGGTAAGGGAAAAATATTCCTTAAGGTAAACCCTTAAGAGAAAGAGAAACACTTAAGATGCTTTATGCAACCGGGCCCAGGACTCAGTCATCAGAACCTTATGGCCTTAGAGTCAGGCCAGGTCAGGTTACTATAGTGACCCTGTGAACAGACAGAGTGGAGCTTAACAATACAGCATTGTTTGCCTGCCCCACCGGCCCCTGTGTGTGTGTGTCCATGTGAGTGAGTGTGTTTTCCCTTCCCCACTAGCCTCTCTAGTCTTAACTCCACCTACAATGTACTGTAATTGAAATCATTACTGGGTCTACCTTGCAGCTGCAAGTGTGTGTGTGGACAAAAGTGTGTGTCTGTGTGTGTGTGTTTCCAGGGCCCATGCTCTACCTCCCCCCTCACTGTAATTGAAATCATTCCTGAGTGAGTTCACCTCACTGAGCTCAGGGCCTTCTCCTTTATTGGACTGCTGTAAGGGGGCTGCTATGAAGAGAGAGTAGGGGTGTACAGTATCCTTATGTGATAGTCTCAAAGTGAGTGTGTGTGTGTGTGTGTGTGTGTGTGTGTGTGTGTGTGTGTGTGTGTGTGTGTGTGTGTGTGTGTGTGTGTGTGTGTGTGTGCGTGTGCGTGTGTCCAGAGGTAGAGTAGGAGTCGTTTTTGACTAGGGTTTTTTAAATGGCAGGAGTAGTGGGGGAGGCGAGGTGACCTCATTTGATTTAAATTGATTCCATAACTGGAGGTCTATCTCTAGGGTTTACCCAATGGTTATGTTTCAAGTTTTAATGTCACGTACACAAGTAGTGAAATGTCTTTCTTGCGAGCTCTAAACCCAACAATGCAGTAATCATTATCAATGTAGTAGTAAAAATAACATAAGGTAGAACAAAAACACACAAGAAATAAGAAATAAGAACACGAGAAAGTAAGAAGCTATATACAGGGTCAGTTCCAGTACCATATTTACAATGTGCAGCGTTACTGGAGTGATAGAGGTAGATATGTATAGGGGTAAGGTGACTAGGCATCAGGATATATGATAAACAGAGTAGCAGCAGCGTATATGAGGATTGAATGTAAATGTGTGTGCATGTTATGTGTGTGTGAGCAAATTAAGTATGTGAGTGTGTGTGTGTGTGTGTGTGTGTTGGAGTGTCAGTGTTGGTGTCAGACTTGATGCACCGGTATCGCTTGCCGTGCGGTAGCAGAGAGAACAGTCTATGGCTTGGGTGGCTGGAGTCTTTGACGATTTTCTGGGCCTTCCTTTCACACCGCCTGATATAGAGGTCCTGGAGGCAGGGACCTCGGCCTCAGTGATGTACTGGGCTGTCTGCACCACCCTCTGTAGCACCATTTGATCGAGGTCGGTGCTGGTGCCATACCAAGCAGTGATGCAGCCAGTCAAGATGCTCTCAATGGTGCAGTTGTAGAAGTTTTGGAGGATTTGAGGGCCCATGCCAAACCTTTTCAACCTCCTGAGGGGGAATAGGTGCTGTTGCGCCTTCTTCACGACTGTGCGCGTGTTTGTGGACCAGTGCTAGCTGTGCCACTAGAGATCCTGGTTCGAATCCAGGCTCTGTCGCAGCCGGCCGCGACTGGGAGACTCATGGGCGGCGCACAATTGGCCCAGCGTCGTCCAGGGTAGGGGAGGGAATGGCTGGCAGGGATGTAGCTCAGTTGATAGAGCATGGCGTTTGCAACGCCAGGGTTGTGGGTTCAATTCCCACGGGGGACCAGTTTGAAAAAAAACAACAAAAAAAAGACAAAAAAATATATATATGTATTCACTAACTGTAAGTCGCTCTGGATAAGAGCGTCTGCTAAATGACTAAAATGTAAATGTAAATGTAAAACAGAAAGGAAAACGCAGCACACTGCTGCTCATGCTCCCAGGTGATATTTATTTCTAACAACGTTTCGACCCTTAGGTCTTCATCAGGCATCCATATCCCAGGTGGGGGTGGAAGGTCCTATATATAGGGGCAGTACTCACTGACTCAATCACTTCCTGAAACAGGAGGTAAAAAATGTATAACATTTGGACACAGAGGAACTTGAAGCTCTCCCCTGGTTACTACCTGGTTGCCCCCTGGTTACCCCCCTGGCCCGAGGTCTATCTGTAGGGTTTAACCCCTGGTTACCCACTGGCCCAAGGTCTATCTGTAGGGTTTAACCCCTGGTTACCCCCCTGGCCCGAGGTCTATCTGTAGGGTTTAACCCCTGGTTACCCACTGGCCCAAGGTCTATCTGTAGGGTTTAACCCCTTGTTACACCTGCTAGCCGGCCTGCTAGCCTGCCTGTCTGAAGTTATCAGCTTTGGAGCTGGCCGCAGGGTACAGGACAGGTCAGCTGACCAGAGCAGTTCTACTGTAGTTAGATTAGAGGGTCACAAAAAAGGCAAAGCGGCTTACAGGAGCCCTCTCTCTCTCTCTCTCTCTCTCTCTCTCTCTCTCTCTCTCTCTCTCTCTCTCCACTCTGTGGATTTTACTATGAAAACACCATTACGTCATTCACTGGGGGATGAATCAAGTTAATCACTACTGTATCTGTCTGTCTGTGCCTCTCTTCTCACAGCTGAGACAGAGACAGTCAGTAACAGACAGCCAGTCTAATGGCCATTAATGACTGGGCTCTGTCATTGGTTCTATGTGTAATATACTGACACCTGGTGGTGGATTAGATACAAGTTGCCGTAAACAACATGTCTGTGTCTATCCCATTTAAATTTTTTACATTTGACATTTTAGCCATTTACATTACATTACATTTTAGTCATTTAGCAGACGCTCTTATCCAGAGCGACTTACAGATTTAGCAGATGCTCTTATCCATAGCGACTTACAGGAAACATTTGGATTAAGTGTCTTGCTCAAGGGCACATCGGCAGATTTTTCACCTTGTCGGCTCGGGGATTCGACCCAGCAACCTTTCAGTTAAGCTTTGTTCACACTGTATGCCTTAATGCTCAAATAAGTTTGGTTTTTCAAATCCGTTTTGGGAATACTGACTGTCCAAACAGCAAGTTACAAGTGACCAAATCGTATTTGTGTCTGTTCCGACAGCAGTCATTTGCTGACATGGCTACGCTAGTTGTCATAGTAACGATGGGTGTGTGCACAGTGGTGTAGGCTGATTGGTGGTGGTGCTCGTGCTTCATATCACTCATAAGTTATGTAGCAAGCTAAGGTTACAACAATGCCTGCCATGGACGTTTCCCAGTTGCTTTGAATGTTCAAAATCATAGTGTAAGAACACTTTAAAGTCTCAAAGGATAAGATGATCCAACTTTCAAAATGTGTCCTTTTTCGGCTAGCCACAGCAGTCAACTACCTAGGTTGTTCAAAAGCAATGCACTATATAGGGAATGGGGTGCCATTTGGGACTCATCCCTTGTCCAGCAAGAACGTAAACTGGATTTTTGTGATTTACTAGTCATAAGGTCAGAGGTTATATGGTACATGAGATGAACTCTGGCTTGTATCACGGCCTTCACATCTTTATGTCTACCAGCTAGACCATTAGTCACCTTGGCATTGGTCCCTCTCTCTCTCTCTCTCTCTCTCTCTCTCTCTCTCTCTCTCTCTCCTTCGGAGGGCGATATGGAGGAACAGGTGTGTTCCTGTGTAGGGCAGAGAGATCCCCTCTTACTAAGTTTCAGTCATCACCATGGTCGTCTCACACACACACACACACACACACCTCTACAGGGCCTCCCCTCTCATTAAGGTAACTACTGAGACGGATGATAGAGCATGCTTATGCAGAGAGAGAGAAAGAGAGGGTGTGTGTGTGTGTGTGTGTAGAGCCTAACAATCACTGCCATTGCTGATACAGTCCCCATTTAAATAATAAAAACCAATATGTTTTCGTGCCACTGAAGAATTCCAGAATTCCTTTGGTTGATGTATTGGATGTAGATCTCTCTAAAGTATATAGTTGTGCAATCTGGTATTGAGTGTTGGGTATCAGCAGTTTACAGGAGTAATTTTAGGATTACTGGAGCTCTAGACACAACATAATCCTCATGGGAGAGTCAACAATAGAGCTGGTGGGGGATTAAGGCTGAGACGACTGCTGAGCATCACACAAACAGAGGGACCCAGAGCCCAACTCAGAATACATTAAACACAGCCTAATTGGTATTAGCAGAGACTGGAGTGAAGCTGTGATTCAGAGCCAGAATGGACACCTGTGTGTATGGGTTGGTGAGAGGAGTAGGAATGTGTCACGGTTTCAGACATGTGGTTTAGATTTGACAGAGTCTGCATCCCAAATGGCATCCTATTCCTTATATAGTGCACTACTTTTGACCAAAGCCCTATTAAAAGTAGTGCACTATAAAGGGAATAGGGTACCATTTGGGACACTGTCATTGATGTGAGACAGGCCTTGGATCAGTGGGACTGACTGACATTCTTTTACATTATGTTATCTCTACCTCTTTTCTTCCAGATACGTCTTCCAACTACATCAGGCAACTGGAGACCAAGGTCCGCATCCTGGAGGATGACAACATGCAGCTTCTATCACAGGTAAAACTCTGCAGCTACTGTATGTTACCATGGTGAAAACTATCACCGCTCTGTTTTTCAATTTTCACTCTCTTCGCCCTCTCTCTTTCCTCTTAATGTCTCCCACTCTCACTTTCTCAAACCTAAACTCTCTTGTGGGAGAGGCAGAGAAGGCAGCAGTGACGAGAGTTTCATTTTCAAAGTACAAACAGAGAATGAGAGAGATGTAGTGGGAGTGAATAGCGAAAGCTAAATATTGCCAAGTAATCGGGTACATAGGGGAGATATAGAGAGAGGGAGGGAGAGAGAGAGGGAGGGAGAGAGAGGGAGCTTGTTTCTACCTGCTGGGATGATATGGGTAAGTGAATAATTCAGCATCACAGTGAAAGTGAGCTTTAATAATGGATTGGGATAAATGATGGGAGAGCAAGAGAATTCAGTCATGAGATGAATGTTTCATTGCTTCTCATTGCCATTCTGTCTGGGGTCTGATTTCACATGAAAGGAATCCGTGAGGAGCAACAACAAGAACACACACACGCATGCATGTACGCACACACGCACACACGCACACACTTGTACCATCTCTACTCTCTACTAGGAGATCTTAGAACACATACACACAGGTTCACACACATTTACTCACACATGAATGCACACACATACACACTAAAGTACATACCCGAGAGAGATGGATGCTACAGGGAAGAGAGTGCACTCAGAGTAGTAAAGAGTTTTAGTAACATTGTTACAACCAGAGGGAGCATCATTATGACATCAGCTAGAGGTGAATAGAATAGTTCTGTGTCCCCAAATGCCACCCCCTTGGTTACTGTTGCAACCTCTGACAACATTTCCCCGGGAAGCCCAATTCCCCCTTCTAACCACTGGCGAAATCTCCTCACAAAGATCTCAAACTGTGTTTTTAATACAAAATGAAATTAAACACAGACAACCCCTTGCTAATCAGGAGACGCTCTGGTGTGTTGTGGTGGACTGTCATTACAATTGCTTCATGGGAACCTGGTAAAAATTAAGGTTGTAGCACAGAGTTTCTAAACCCAGAGGTGCAACAGCGCGAGACTTCCAGAAACACTTGCGAAACAGACCAAGCAAACCAGATCGGGCTTTGGGGTTTGAGAAGTCAATGAGAGAAGTGAACAATTCTTCCTTAGTGGTTAATTGTCTTGAAATCTAAAGACACAACCTAGATTCCAGCCAATGTCTTAAGTAGTTGAACTTGTTATTACTCCAACCTCATGAAAGTGACAAACTGACACATTTTCATTTTTCGTCAAAAACAACTTAATGTCGAAGGAGTGCCTTTGATTTGATGGTCAGCACATGCGCAGTTCGGCGAGAGACGACCGCTACACACATGTTTTTCTATGCATGAGCTTAGCTAGCCAACGTCACCATGACATCACCTACAAGTGTAAACGAGGATTTCTATTGGAGAAGCAGTTTCTGCCTGTCTTCATACTGTACTGTCTTTGGTTGTAATGTGGCTAGCCACTGGATGGCTCTGAATGCACTGTCAGCATGCAGCCAAAGTTACTAACCAGTTTTAGAGCTAACTAGTGCTCTCAAATCGTATCCTGATGTCGACAGCAGATGAGAGTTGTATTCATAACATGGCTAACTTAGCTAGCTAACATACAGTACATTTAGAAAAAAACTAATTATATTAACTGGCTAGCTAGCTAGCTAGCGTTAGCAGTGTTGGTTGGTCAATAAGACAGAGCTAACCAGCTGTGCTAGCAAACAATGTAACAAAAATGTAACAAAAAGTATAATTTTGGGTTCTGCATTTCAAGAATCACAGAAGCAAGTACCGCTGGTGCACTGTTAAATTATTTAGCCATTTAAACAATTAATTTTGGGATGAAAACTCTGTTTTTGTAATTCCCTGAATGGCTGTGATGAGTTTCAAAAGTGAGCTTGTCCGAGGTGTTGGACTCGACGACAGTTGCTATCCATTGGAGCGCTGCAATTGTTTGCCTAAAATTCTGGGGCCTACAGCAGCACATAGATCTTTTGCACAGATTCTGTTAGACCTGGGCCCTAAGTGAATCTTATTAAGACAAAAATAATGGTGTTCCAAAAAAGGTCCAGTTGCTAAGACCACAAATACAAATTCCATCTAGACACCGTTGCCCTAGAGCACACAGGAAAAACTATACCTACCTCGGCCTAAACATCAGCGCCACAGGTAACTTCCACAAAGCTATGAAGGATCTGAGGGCCTTCTACTCCATCAAAAGGAACATAACATTCGACATCCTGGCTAAAAATACTTGAACCAGTTATGGAACACATTGCCCTTTATGGTTGTGAGGTCTGGGGTCCGCTCACCAACCAATAATTCACAAAATAGGACAAACACCAAATTGAGACTGCATGCAGAATTCTGCAAAAACAACTTAAAACAGCAAATAATGCATGCAGAGCAGAATTAGAAGGAAACTTGCTAATGATCAAAATCCAGAAAAGAGCTGTTAAATTCTACAACCACCTAAAAGGAAGTGATTCCCAAACCATCCATTACAAACCCATCACCTACAGAGAGATGAACCCAGAGAAAAGTCCCCTAAGCAAGCTGGTCCTGGGGCTCTGTTCACAAACACAAACAGACCCCACAGAGCCCCAGGACAGAAACACCATTAGACACAACCAAATCATGAGAAAACAAAAATATAATTACTTGACACATTGGAAAGAATTTACATACAAAAAAAACTGAGCAAAATGGAATGCTATTTGGCCCAGTGGCAGAATACCTGATCACTGTGACTGACCCAAAATGAAGGAAAGCTTTGCTCAGTGAGCATAGCCTTGCTATTGAGAAAGGCCGCCGTAGGCAGACCTGGCTCTCAAAAGAAGACAGGCTATGTGCATACTGCCCACAAAATGAGGTGGAAACTGAGCTGCACTTCCTAACCTCCTGCCAAATGTATGACCATATTAGAGACAAATATTTCCCTCAAATTACACAGACCCACAAAGAATTCGAAAACAAATCAAGTTTTGATCAACTTAAATATCTATTGGGTGAAATATCAGTGTGCCATCACAGCAGCAAGATTTGTGACCTGTTGCCTCAAGAAAGGGCAACCAGTGAAGAACAAACACCATTGGAAATACACCCTATATTTATGTTAATCTATTTTCCCTTTTGTACTTCAATATTTGCAGTGTTACAACACTTTACATAGCCATAATATAACATTTGAAATGTATGTATTCTTTAAAAACTTTTGTAAGTATAATGTTAATTTCTGATTGTTTATTATCTATTTCACTTGCTTTGTCAAGATAAACATACTGTATGTTTCCCATGCCAATAAAGCCCTTTAAATTGAGAGACTGAGACTGAGATAGAAAGACACACACACACACACACACACACACACACACACACACACACACACACACACACACACACACACACACACACACACACACACACACACACACACACACACACACACACACACACACACACACACACACACACACACACACACACAGCCTCTGAGGGGCCCAGGCAGTGACACAAACACACTCAGACAGATTACACAGGGCTTTTGTACTGCTGCGATAGCCCCAAAGACGACCGTTCTGTGTGTTTGGCTGGCAACATGTTGATCCGTTATGGATGGGGATTCTACGCTCCACACAAAGAGAACATAAAACCCTCAAAGAGAACACATAATCCATCCTTTAGGGTAGCACAGACCTGGCATGGAGCCTAACCATAAGGAGTGTTTTCTAGCTGAACTGAAGGGTTGCTGTGAGCGGTGGATAAATGCAAAACACTGAATAGTTCAGAACAGATCCTGATATCTTGATAACTCTCAGTATGGAATCTAATTAAACCAGTCTGTGGTACTTCAAGAGTCCTGTATGGGTACTGAGGGAAACTGACCTTTGATCTCTGACCTCAACTCACCTGGGAATGACCTCTCTTTATGACGCAGCTGTTCTTTAACACTCTTTAACTCACAAGGGTGTCATCACAGTGACCTTACTGCCCTGCACAGATAGATACACACGCACGTACGCACACACACACTGCACTCTGTAAAAAAGAGGCCAATCCTCTCAAAAGCCGTTGTATCCCCAAGGGCGCAGTTTGTGTTTTTCTTTCTATATACCCTTTATCTTCTCTCTGTTATTTTTAAAGGCAGCTAACCAACGTCACAGTGTCCTGAGGCAGAGCGATGCCATTTATTGTATCCCAGGCAGGAGGATTCAAAACACATGCTGGCCATTTTCAGTGATAAGATAGACAGGGTATAAGTGAACTGAACTGAACTGACTGCTGTCTTACAAGGTGTCCTAAAATGGCCTATGGACAATCCTGAGCATCATCCTCTCAACTTCTGTCCTGATCTCCTCACTCTTGTCCAGAGGAGATCAGCAGATCATATTCTCCTCTTGGCTTTCTGTGTGCACTGTCTACTCCTCTAAATGTGTTATCTCTCTCTCTCACTCTACTACTCTCAATCTCTCTCGTATACTTCTCTCCTATCTCTCCTCGTCTCTCTCTCTCTCTCTCTCTCTCTCTCTCTCTCTCTCTCTCTCTCTCTCTCTCTCTCTCTCTCTCTCTCTCTCTCTCTCTCAGCAGACTAACAGTGGTGATCTGAAGTGTCTGAGGAAGGGTTTCTACCACTCTGAGTCTCAGCTCTCACAGTACCAGCAGGATGCACTGCAGAATGTACGTACAGTATGCGCCAAACCACTCCTGGTGTGTTTGTGTGTGTGGTCTGTGCACCCTGTCACCCCAGCCCACTCCCTCTCCCTGCCCTGACCACTCTGTTTGGCTCTGTGGATAAATCCTAGCTCCCAGAAAACCCTATCTGTTTTGAGCCGATTTGCAGCCGATTTTAATTGAACAACAATTAGTGGTCGCTGTGGTAACAGCAACCGTAACAGTGGTCACCGAAGCAGAGGTCTTTGTGGCAGCGGCGTTGGATTTTTATTTTATGTTCTCACTCCGGCTGATAAGGGTCAAGGTCAGGGGTCATGATCTGTCAGGAAAGATCAAAGCCAACAGGGAAAGACACACACGGGGGACACATTGATGGAGAGTGAGAGTTCTGAAAACTCCGAAATTTGGAAGGCATTTCCTGAGTCTCACATGGAGTTGAAACCAGTCCACAGATTTATATTTTCTCCCTCCATCTGTACTTTCTTCCTCTTATTGTGGCCTTAACTCCTTTGAAGTGCTTTAAGAGTTTCTCTCACTCCAGAACTGAGTTGGTATGTGGCTGACCTCTGTATCACTTCACAGACCTGCTTTGAACTGGACTTTCAAACACTTTCAAACACTCTCCAGCTCCTCCACATTTAAAACGTGTACCATCTCACTTTCCAGTATTGAATGTCAGTCTCCAGTAATATGGACCTTTACTCCAGCCCTGTCTCTTTCATATTCCACCCTGAGCCTGAGAGTTAAGAGACAATAACCTCAGGCCTTTAATGTAAATACAGCTCAGACTTTACCCAATAACCCAGAGTAATAAAGTAGACCTTACAACAGCAGTACTTCATGTTAACCCTAACCTCCACCCCTCCTACTGTTTATCTAGCTTTGATTCTCTAGCACAGCCTTAGAGCTGGAGACTCCTCTCTCTCTCTCTCTCTACTCTCTCTCTCGCCTCATCTCTCTGCCTCTATACTCTCGCTCTCTCCGTCTCTCGCTCTCCCTCTCTCTCCGCTATCTCTCTCTCGCTCTCTATCTCTCTCTCTCTCTCGCTCTATCTCTTCGCTCTCTCCCTCTCGCTCTCTCTCTCTCTCTCTCTCTCGCCGCTCGCTCGCTCTCTCTCTCTCTCTCTGGGCGTCATTGGCATGGGAAAAAATGTTACATTGCCAAAGCAGTGAAAAAGATAAAAAACAAAATAAAATAAACATTTAAAAAAAACAGTAGATTCATCGCAAAAGTTCCAAAAAAAAATTTAAAATGTTTTTATGTATAAACATGTTTTGACGAATGCAAAATGTTAAAGTAAAAAGGGAAAATAATAAATTTCTTTTTAATTTCTCTTAATCTCTTCCTTTATAGCCGAGTTTTTCACCTTCTCCAGCTTCCAGTTAACCAGAGGGCATCCCTTAGAGACCAAATTTAAAAGGGGATCCCTCCTGTCGAAGGGCAAAAACCAAAGGGGGCTCCCTCTTTCACCGCCCGGGGAACCCCCAGCCCCCGTTTAGTAAAAGCCCCAGCAGGCCCCCCAAAAAAAGGGGTAGCGGGCCCCCAAAACCCCCCCCGGGGACCCCAATCCCATTTTAAACCCTTTTTACATCCCCCCTCCCCCTCCACATCTCATTATAACCCTTTTCCCCTAATCCCCCTCATCCTCCACCTTCCGCATCCTAGAGCAGAGAGAGGAGAGGAGAGGAGAGGAGAGAGAGCAGAGACGGAGTGACAGAGAGGAGATGAGAGAGAGCAGAGAGAGGACAGAGAGCAGAGGAGAGGGAGCAGAGACAGAGAGAGGAGAGGAGAGAGAGCAGAGAGAGGAGAGACAGAGAGGAGAGGAGAGAGAGCAGAGACAGAGTGAGGAGATGGAGCAGAGACAGGAGAGAGAGCAGGGAGAGGAGAGGAGAGGAGAGATAGCAGAGAGAGGAGAGGAGAGGAGAGATAGCAGAGAGAGGAGAGGAGAGGAGAGATAGCAGAGAGAGGAGAGGAGAGATAGCAGAGAGAGGAGAGGAGAGAGGAGATACAGAGAGGAGAGAAGAGAGAGCAGAGAGAGGAGAGAGAGGAGAGGAGAGGAGAGAGCAGAGGCAGAAAGAGCAGAGGGAGGAGTGGAGTTAGAGCAGAGACAGAAGAGAGAGCAGAGAGAGGGAGAGAGGAGAGAGAGCAGAGAGCAGAGTCAGAGAGAGGAGAGGGAGCAGAGACAGAGAGAGGAGAGGGAGCAGAGAGAGAGGAGAGGAGAGAGGGGAGAGGAGAGAGAGCAGAGGAGAGAGAGCAGAGACAGAGAGAGGAGAGGAGAGGAGAGGAGAGAGAGCAGAGACAGAGAGAGGAGAGAGAGCAAATACAACCCATATTTATGTTTATTTATTTTCCCATTTGTACTTTAACTATTTGCACATTGTTACAACACTGTATATAGACATAATATGACATTTGAAATGTCTTTATTCTTTTGGAACTACTGAGTGTAATGTTTACTGTTAATATTTATTGTTTATTTCACTTTTGTTTACTATCTACTTCACTTGCTCTGGCAATGTTAACATACGTTTCCCATGCCAATAAAGCCCTTCAATTGAAATTGAGAGGAGAGAGAGCAGAGACAGAGAGAGCAGAGAAGAGAGGAGAGGACAGCACTCTTGTTTAGCTAATCAGAACTCTGATTGGTCCTGATAAAAGTCCTCTGGAGTCATCCTGGTAACCTCTCAGGTAAATAATGAAGAGCGTGGCGTGTGTGTGTTCTGGAGTGAAAGACAGACAGACTTTAGACTCCTGTCCTGATTAGCATGGCTTTGAACTAACTTCAAACACAGAAGGTGACGCATTGAATAATGCATAATCTCTCTCTCTCTTTCTCTCTCAATTCAATTTCAATTTCAATTTAAGGGGCTTTATTGGCCTGGGAAAAATATGTTTACATTGCCAAAGCAAGTGAAATAGATAATAAATAGATAATAAATACATAAAATGAACAGTAAACATTACACTCACAAAAGTTCCAAAAGAATAAAGACATTTCAAATGTCATATTATGTATATATATACAATGTTGTAAGGATGTGCAAATAGTACAAAAGGGGAAAATAAATCAACATAAATATGGGTTGTATTTACAATGGTGTTTGTTCTTCACTGGTTGCCCTTTTCTTGTGGCAACAGGTCACATATATTGCTGCTGTGATTGCACACTGTGTGTGGTATTTCACCCAATAGAAATGGGAGTTTATCAAAATTGGATTTGTTTTCGAATTCTTTGTGGGTCTGTGTAATCTGAGGGAAATATGTGTCTCTAATATGGTCATACATTTGGCAGGAAGTTAGGACGTGCAGCTCAGTTTCCACCTCATTTTGTGGGCATTGTGCACATAGCCTGTCTTCTTTTGAGAGCCAGGTCTGCCTACGGCGGCCTTTCTCAATAGCAAGGCTATGCTCACTGAGTCTGTACATGGTCAAAGCTTTCCTTAATTTTGGGTCAGGTATTCTGCCACTCTGTACTCTCTGTTCAGGGCCAAATAGCATTCTAGTTTGCTATGTTTTTGTGTCAAGTAATTATCTTGTTTTTTCATGATTTGTTTGGGTCTAATTGTGTTGTTGTCCTGAGGCTCTGTGGGGTCTGTTTGTGTTCGTGAACAGAGCCCCAGGACCAGCTTGCTGAGGGGACTTTTCTCTAGGTTAATCTCTCTGTAGGTGATGGCTTTGTTATGGAAGGTTTGGGAATCGCTTCCTTTTAGGTGGTTGTAGAATTTAACGGCTCTTTTCTGGATTTTGATAATTAGCGGGTATCGCCTTAATTCTGCTCTGCATGCATTATTTGGTGTTTTACGTTGTACATGGAGGACACATTTTTGCAGAATTCTGCATGCAGAGTCTCAATTTGGTGTTTGTCCCATTTTGTGAATTCTCAGTTGGTGAGCAGTCCCAGACCTCACAACCATAAAGGGCAATGGGTTCTATAACTGATTGAAGTATTTTTTGCCAGATCCTAATTGGGATGTCAGATTTTATGTTCCTTTTGATGGCATAGAAGGCCCTTCTTGCCTTGTCTCTCAGATCGTTCACAGCTTTGTGGAAGTTACCTGTGGCGCTGATGTTTAGGCCGAGGTGTGTATAGTTTTTTGTATGCTCTAGGGCAACGGTGTCAAGATGGAATTTGTATTTGTGGTCCTGGCAACTGGACCTTTTTTGGAACATCATTATTTTTGTCTTACTGAGATTTACTGTTAGGGGCCAGATCTGACAGAATCTGTGCAGAAGATCTAGGTGCTGTTGTAGGCCCTCCTTGGTTGGGGATAGAAGCACCAGATCATCAGCAAACAGTAGACATTTGACTTCAGATTCTAGTAGGATGAGGCAAGGTGTTGCAGACTTTTCTAGTTCCCTCTCCAACTCGTTGATATATATGTTGAAGAGGGTGGGGCTCAAGCTGCATCCCTGTCTCACTCCACGGCCCTGTGGAAAGAAATGTGTTTTTTGCCAATTTTATAATGTTGTATGTTTTTCCCCCAACACCACTTTCCATCAGTTTGTATAGCAGACCCTCATGCCAAATTGACAAAGCATGAGAAGACGTTGCCTTTGGTTTGGTTTGTTTGTTTGTCAATTAGGGTGTGCAGGGTAAATACGTGGTCTGTCATACGGTAATTTGGTAAAAAGCCAATTTGACATATGTACAGTGGGGGAAAAAAGTATTTAGTCAGCCACCAATTGTGCAAGTTCTCCCACTTAAAAAGATGAGAGAGAAAATGAGATTTTTTTTCTCCAGAAAATCACATTGTAGGATTTTTAATGAATTTATTTGCAAATTATGGTGGAAAATAAGTATTTGGTCACCTACAAACAAGCAAGATTTCTGGCTCTCACAGACCTGTAACTTCTTCTTTAAGAGGCCTCCACTCGTTACCTGTATTAATGGCACCTGTTTGAACTTGTTATCAGTATAAAAGACACCTGTCCACAACCTCAAACAGTCACACTCCAAACTCCACTATGGCCAAGACCAAAGAGCTGTCAAAGGACACCAGAAACAAAATTGTAGACCTGCACCAGGCTGGGAAGACTGAATCTGCAATAGGTAAGCAGCTTGGTTTGAAGAAATCAACTGTGGGAGCAATTATTAGGAAATGGAAGACATACAAGACCACTGATAATCTCCCTCGATCTGGGGCTCCACGCAAGATTTCACCCCGTGGGGTCAAAATGATCACAAGAACGGTGAGCAAAAATCCCAGAATCACACGGGGGGGCCTAGTGAATGACCTGCAGAGAGCTGGGACCAAAGTAACAAAGCCTACCATCAGTAACACACTACGCCGCCAGGGACTCAAATCCTGCAGTGCCAGACGTGTCCCCCTGCTTAAGCCAGTACATGTCCAGGCCCGTCTGAAGTTTGCTAGAGTGCATTTGGATGATCCAGAAGAGGATTGGGAGAATGTCATATGGTCAGATGAAACCAAAATATAACTTTTTGGTAAAAACTCAACTCGTCGTGTTTGGAGGACAAAGAATGCTGAGTTGCATCCAAAGAACACTATACCTACTGTGAAGCATGGGGGTGGAAACATCATGCTTTGGGGCTGTTTTTCTGCAAAGGGACCAGGACGACTGATCCGTGTAAAGGAAAGAATGAATGGGGCCATGTATCGTGAGATTTTGAGTGAAAACCTCCTTCCATCAGCAAGGGCATTGAAGATGAAACGTGGCTGGGTCTTTCAGCATGACAATGATCCCAAACACACCACCCGGGCAACGAAGGAGTGGCTTCGTAAGAAGCATTTCAAGGTCCTGGAGTGGCCTAGCCAGTCTCCAGATCTCAACCCCATAGAAAATCTTTGGAGGGAGTTGAAAGTCTGTGTTGCCCAGCGACAGCCCCAAAACATCACTGCTCTAGAGGAGATCTGCATGGAGGAATGGGCCAAAATACCAGCAACAGTGTGTGAAAACCTTGTGAAGACTTACAGAAAACGTTTGACCTGTGTCATTGCCAACAAAGGGTATATAACAAAGTATTGAGAAACTTTTGTTATTGACCAAATACTTATTTTCCACCATAATTTGCAAATAAATTCATTAAAAATCCTACAATGTAATTTTCTGGATTTTTTTTCTCATTTTGTCTGTCATAGTTGACGTGTACCTATGATGAAAATTACAGGCCTCTCTCATCTTTTTAAGTGGGAGAACTTGCACAATTGGTGGCTGACTAAATACATTTTTTCCCCACTGTACATTGTTTTCACTGAGGAAATGTACGAGTCTGCTGTTAATGATAATGCAGAGGTTTTTCCCAAGGTTGCTATTGACACATATCCCACGGTAGGTATTGTGGGGAAATTTGTCTCCACTTTTGTGGATTGGGGTGATCAGTCCTTGGTTCCAAATATTGGGGAAGATGCCAGAGCTGAGGATGATGTTAAAGAGTTTAAGTATAGCCAATTGGAATTTGTGGTCTGTATATTTTATAATTTAATTTAGGATACCATCAACACCACAGGCCTTTTTGGGTTGGAGGGTTTGTATTTTGTTCTGTAGTTAATTTAATGTAATTGGAGAATCCAGTGGGATCTGGTAGTCTTTAATAGTTGATTCTAAGATTTGTATTTGATCATGTATATGTTTTTGCTGTTTGTTCTTTGTTATAGGGCCAAAAAGATTGGAGAAGTGGTTTATCCATACATCTCCGTTTTGGATAAATAACTCTTTGTGTTGTTTGTTTAATGCGTTCCAATTTTCCCAGAAGTGGTTAGATTCTATGCATTCTTCAATTTCATTGAGCTGATTTCTGATGTGCTGTTCCTTCTTTTTTCCGTAGTGTATTTCTGTATTGTTTTAGTGATTCACCATAGTGAACGCTCAAGTTTTCTGGGTCTCTATGTTTTTGGTTGGATAGGTTTCTCAATTTCTTTCTTATGTTTTTGCATTCTTCATCAAACCATTTGTCATTGTTGTTAATTTTCTTAGGTTGTCTGCTTGACATTTTTAGATTTGATAGGGAAGCTGAGAGGTCAAATATACTGTTTAGGTTTTCTACTGCCAAGTTTACACCTTCACTATTATAGTGAAACATTTTGTCCAGGAAGTTTTCTAAAAGGGATTGAATTTGTTGTTGCCTAATTGTTTTTTGGTAGGTTTCCACACTACTTTCCTTCCAGCTATAGCATTTCTTAATATTATTCAGTTCCTTTGGCTTTGATGCCTCATGATTGAGTATTGCTCTGTTCAAGTAGACTGTGATTTTGCTGTGATCTGAGAGGGGTGTCAGTGGGTTGACTGTGAACGCTCTGAGAGACTGGGTTGAGGTCAGTGATAAAGTAGTCTACAGTACTACTGCCAAGAGATGAGCTATAGGTGTACCTAGTCCCCTCGACGCCTACCATTGACTATGTACATACCTAGCGTGCGACAGAGCTGCAGGAGTTTTTGTTGGTTATGTTGTCGTAGCTGTGTCTAGGGAGGCATATGGGGGAGGGAATGCTGTCACCGCCAGGTAGGTGTTTGTCCCCCTGTGTGCTGAGAGTGTCAGGTTCTTGTCCAGTTCTGGCATTTAGGTCATCACAGACTAGTACATGTCCCTGGGCCTGGAAATGATTGATTTCCCCCTCCAGGATGGAGAAGCTGTCTTCATTAAAGTATGGGGATTACTGGGGGGATATACTGTAGGTAGCACACAGGAGGACATTTGTTTCTGTTGAGATAATTTACTTTGACTTTCTAGCCAAATGTAAAATGTTCCTGTTTTGATTAATTTAAAAGAGTGAGTTAGGTCTGCTCTATACCAAATTATCATACCCCCTGAGTCCCTTCCCTGTTTCACTCCTGGTAGTTTGGTGGATGGGACTAGCAGCTCTCTGTAACCTAGAGGGCAACCAGTGGGTCCATCTCCTCTATGCCATGTTTCATGTAGGATTACAATGTCTGTATTTCTGATTTCTTTGGTGAAGTCCAGGTTCCTGCTCTTTAGGCCAAAGGCAGATGACCTCAGGCCTTGGATATTCCAGGATGAGATAGTGAAGGCTTTGTGTTCCATAAAGTGTCCAATGTTGTTAGTCGTGTGGTTTGGCCTCAGACCAGTAAGTGTGAGCAGAGCCTGCTAAGCATCTGGTACATGCCATTGGCTTGGGCTAGTGTAAGTGGGGGTTGGGCCTGTTTGCCTGCTCATGGCCTGGGCGTATGTGTGACTTTCATGTTGAGGCCCTCTTTGTGGGTCTGGGAGAGTGTCTCGCTGGTCTTGGCGGGGTGTCTGTTGATCTGTTGCTCCTGTGTGAGGTGTTGGGGCTGCGGTTGAGGGCGATGTCCTTTAGGGTCCTGGCGAAGGTGGGCACTGCTGCCTTGTAGAGGTGGACCTGGCCGTAAAGGCTGTTCATGTCCAGGGTGGAGTGGTGGGCAGGGTAAACATTTGGTTTTGAGGCACAGTCACGGGAAATACTTGCGTTTACCCGCTGTATAGTAGCATGGTGAAAGTATTTTCGTAGGAGCAGGGTGTGCGTTGAGGAAAGTAGAAGAAGCTTTTTCAATCACTCCCTTGATTGCTGTGCCCACCCTTTCCTGCTGTGCTCTCAGTTCGTTTGTGCCTGTGTGTATTATTATGTGGCTGGGTGACCCTAGTTGGTCCTCAGACAGAAGGTCTAGGGTGTGCAGGGTGTTTGGACCCCAGAGTTTAGAGACCTTATTTTCTTGTTTCTCTCTCTCTCTCACGCCTCACTCTAGTCATGTCACATTCTGCTCAGACAATGACATGGCCTGATATACACTTTAAAGTATACGGTGGGTGGTGTCCAGGGTTGTAGAAATAAGGTACATATTTGCTTATTGTTTGGCATAACCTGTATGTTACGTCAATACGTGTTGTGAGGGGTTACCTGTGATGCGTAGAGAGAGATGGTACCTATTGTAGAGGGGGTCGCCCCCATCCCTGCTAACCCCCCTCTATAGCCCCTACACCCCCCAACACCCGTCACATGCTAACCCCCCTCTATAGCCCCTACACCCCCCTACACCCGTCACATGCTAACCCCCCTCTATAGCCCCTACACCCCCCTACACCCGTCACATGCTAAAATTAGCCCAGCAATCGTGATCACACCCCTGTAGCTCCGACTGAGGCAAAGTCACAACTCTCTAATAACAAGAGCAGCCAATCAAATGTCAAAGTCAATCAATATTCTCTTTGACACAGTAGCAATGTCCTTTTAATTAGTGATTCTATGTCTTGTAAAAATGGTTGGATGTCAATATGTGTCCTTTAGACTACAGTCTTTATTTATGTTTTCTAATAAACTGGCTTATCATCTTTGTTCAGGCTACGTCCCATATATACTAGAGTGACAGCCTTTGAGCACCACTCTAGTGTTAAATCCTCAACAATCCCAACACTGGTGTGTGTGTTTGTGTGAGATATGGGATAGATTAGATATAACTAAGGGCTTGGACAGTGGGTGCTGGGACTGAGCTGCGCTGGGGAGGGATAGGATAGAGCTAGGATAGTCAGGGCTACTGCTCCTCTCCCTCAAATACCTCTTTGTGCATCAGCTGTGACCCAGAGATGGAGAGATACAGGGGAGATGTAACCCCACCAGGGTAGGACCAGGCTAGGATCAGGGGAGATGTAGACCTACCAGGGTAGGACCAGGGTAGGGCCAGGGGAGATTTAAACAAGGATTTAACCTCATTTCGGGGCCCAGAGTACCCTATTAGTACCCCAAAGAGAGAGAGGGGAGATGGGGGATTAGCATGTTACAAACATGATGGTGTGTGTATGCGTTTGTGAGTGTGAGTGTGTGAGAGAGAGAGTATAAAGTGTATACGTGTGTGTGACCACACTGACCATCTCTCCTCTCTCTCCAGGGCTCTGGTAGGTCTCCTAGCGGTGAGCCCCCCCCAGCAGACTACCTCCCAGTGGGCCAGAAGCCTGAGGCTGTGGTCCATGCCATGAAGGTACTGGAGGTCCATGAGAACCTGGAGAAGAAGATCCCTGAAGACTACGACGAGGACCTCAGTGAGAAGGAGAAGGCCATCGTCAGGGAGATGTGTAACGTAAGAAACGTTCTCCTCTCTTCCACATTACCTCTCTCCTCTACTCTCTCCTCTCTCCTCTACTCTCTCCTCTCTACTCTCTCCTCTACTCTCTCCTCTCTACTCTCTCCTCTACTCTCTCCTCTACTCTCTACTCTACTCTACTCTCTCCTCTCTACTCTCTCTTCTCTACTATCTCCTCTACTCTCTCCTCTCTCCTCTCTACTATCTCCTCTACTCTCTCCTCTACTCTCTCCTCTCTACTCTCTCCTCTCCTCTACTCTCTCCTCTACTCTCTCCTCCACTCTCTCCTCTACTCTCTCCTCTCCTCTCTCTACTCTCTCCTCTCTCCTCTCTACTCTCTCTTCTCTACTCTCTCTTCTCTACTCTCTCCTCTACTCTCTCCTCTCTACTCTCTCCTCTCTCCTCTACTCTCTCCTCTACCCTCTACTCTCTCCTCTACTTTTCTTCTCCTCTCTCCCTCTCCTATCCCAACAAGCTAATAATGAGAGCTTGATGAAGATACGATAGGGCTGGCGAGTTGCGCCTCTCTCTCTCTCTCTCTCCCTCTTCCCCGTTTCTGTTTGTTTGCCTGTCAGAATCACAAGCCTGCCATCGCTTTGACGGAGAGCAGTGTTTCAATTACTACACAATTACCCCCCTCCATCCCTCCCGCTCAATCTTCCCCCCTCTCACCCCTCCTCCCCTCTCACCCCCTCACTTCCCCCTGCTATAATTGGAGGTTCCCATAAAGGAGCCTTAGTGTTTACGACACACTTGTCAGCGCAATTAAAATAACTTCACTGGGAGAAACAATGGAAGCTCCTATTGGGGCCTTTTAAGCCTTCGAGCTCCATTCACCCTGCTATGTAAACCTCCCAGGCCTAGGATAAAATAGGAGGGTAGGACTATGAGGCTACAGCCTTCTCTCATCTCAACATCATATCCACCCCCAGACATGTAGGCTGCGTCCCAAATGACCAGGGTCCATCAAAAGTAGTGCACTATAAAGAGAATATAGACTCTGTGACAGGCCTGACGAGGAGTGCAGGGTACTTTGGGACCAGTGTTCTCGCAGGGACAATCCCGGGGCCCTTCCAGGCTTTCAGTGTTGGTTGTTCCATACAGATGAACATAAAACATGTACATGAAAGAAAAAGAGAACACGGAGGCACAGTCAAGTATCCCATCTACCATAAAGAGATAAATACACCAACATCCTTGTCACTAATGAGGTCGACGTTACATGGTCCTGTGGGTCGACCTCTCTCTCATCACAGAGTTGGGAGTTATGTGTTGCACAACTGTTGTTGTGTCCCCTATAATTGCATTGTCTGCTCAGATTATGTGGAACATACATTTTTGTAGACCCCTATTGGTTGGCTGGATTCCAGTCCTATCTATGGTTCCCAGCTCTCTATGACCTCCGTTTGACCCAACCCACAGGTCATACACTCAGAATGCATTCATTCAGATATAATAAAATGTGATACAATAACAAGCTTTGTGTAACAGTGTTTTATTAGTTACTAATTAGTACTACATTTCTCTTCCACCCGGCACTTCTAGAGACCCTAATCTGAAGGGACTGGATGTACTGTAGATAGTATACAGCCGTTGTATGACAATGTTGTGTAACAGTGTTTTGTGTCCCCCCTCTCACTTCCCTGTACTGTGTTGTGTTCTCAGGTGGTGTGGCGTAAACTAGGTGACGCTGCAGGCTCCAAGCCTTCCATCCGCCAGCATCTCTCTGGGAACCAGTTCAAAGGGCCTTTGTAGTCTTTAAGACCACATTAACCAGCACACAGCAGCATTCAGCCGAGACAAACGGACAGACATGGACCCTCAGTACTGAGTGGACAAACAAGGGGCACATCTCAAATGACAGCCTCCTATTCTCTCAGCACTGTGTGACCGTGGCTAGATGATCCACACAAACTCTAACTCGAACCCAAACCCACTGCCTCCTCTGTGCTTAGCCTCCCCTAACATTGTCCCCTGGTGGATATGGAAATGTAGGTTACACCTGACCTGGGTAGCGGGTACAGTCAATCTCAGTTTAGGCCTACGAAGGGTTAAAAACAGTGGGTGGCAATCCTATCGCCTCTGACCACATTGGCTGTCATTTTCTGTTTATTTAAAGACAATTCTACATGTTGAATGACCACCGTTCGTCAATACCCAGCAGGTAATCTAGTGCCCACGGCCAACGTTCGTTATGGTGTCTTGTCATCAATGAGAAGGAAGAGGAGTGGATAGGGGCATTAATAACTCAACTGCCCCTTACAACCAGTCACTACACCTGAGCTACTATACCTGAGACCTGAGCTACAGTACTTTACCTGACCCTCTGCCATCTCCAACCATAGTCTGTTTTTGGGTTTGTAAATGTTCACCTACCAAGTGTTCAAGACTGACAACCACTCCAGGACAGACTATTTTACTCTTCTCAAGTCAAGGCCCTGATCTGTTCTGTTCTTGACTTTGCTTTCATGACTTTTCCATTCAACAGCCAACTGACTGAAAACTCCTTACAACATACAGTGCATTTGGAAAGTATTCAGACCCTTTCCCCACATTTTGTTATGTTACAGCCTTATCCTAAAATTGAAAAAAAATGTCCTCATCAATATACACACAATACCCATAACGAAGAAGTGAAAAAAGGGTTTTAGAAAAAAACTGAAATACCTTATTTACATAAGTATTCAGACCCTTTGCAATGAGACTCCATTGATCATCCTTGAGATGTTTCTACAACTTGATTGGAGTCCACCTGTGGTCAATTCAATTGATTGGACATGATTTGGAAAGGCACACACCTGTCTATGTAAGGTCCCACAGTTGACAGTGCATGTCAGGACAAGAACCAAGCCATGTGGTCGAAGGAATTGTCCGTAGAGCTCCGAGACAGGATTGTGTCGGGGCACAGATCTGGGGAAGGGTACCAAAAAATGTCTACAGCGTTGAAGGTCCCCAAGAACACAGTGGCCACCATCATTCTTAAATGGAAGAAGTTTGGCCGCCTGACCAGACTGAGCAATCGGGGGAGAAGGGCCTTGGTCAGGGAGGTAACCAAGAACCCGATGGCCACTATGACAGAGCTCCAGAGTTCCTCTGTGGAGATGGGAGAACCTTCCAGAAGGATAATCATCTCTGCAGCACTCCACCAATCAGGCATTTATGGTAGAGTGGCCAGACATAAGCCACTCCTCAGTAAAAGGCACATGACGGCCCGCTTGGAGTTTGCCAAAAGGCACCTAAAGGACTCTCAGACCACGAGAAACAAGATTCTCTTGTCTGATGAAACCAAGATTAAATTATTTGGCCTGAATGCCAAGCATCATGTCTGGAGGAAACCTGGCACCATCCCTATGGTGAAGCATGGTGGTGGCAGCATAATGCTGTGGGGATGTTTTTCAGCAGCAGGGACTGGGAGACTTGTCAGGATCGAGGGAAAGACAGCAAAGTACAGAGAGATCTTTGATGAAAACCTGCTCCAGAGCGCTTAGGACCTCAGACTGGGGCGAAGGTTCACCTTCCAACAGAACAACGACACTAAACACACAGCTAAGGCAACGCAGTGGCCCAGCCAGAGCCCAAACTTGAACCCGATCAAACATCTCTGGAGAGACCTGAAAATAGCTGTGCAGCGACACTCTCCATCCAACCTGACAGAGCTTGAGAGGATCTGCAGAGAAGAATGGGAGAAACTCTCGAAATACAGGTGTGCCAAGCTTGTAGCGTCATACCCAAGAAGACTCGAGGCTGTAATCGCTGCCAAAGGTGCTCAACAAAGTACAGAGTAAAGGGTCTGAATACTTATGTAAATGTACAGTGGGGAAGAAAATTATTTAGTCAGCCACCAATTGTGCAAGTTCTCCCACTTAAAAAGATGAGAGAGGCCTGTAATTTTCATCATAGGTACACGTCAACTATGACAGACAAAATGAGAAAAAGAAATCCTGAAAATCACATTGTAGGATTTTTAATGAATTTATTTGCAAATGATGGTGGAAAATAGGTATTTGGTCAATAACAAAAGTTTCTCAATACTTTGTTATATACCCTTTGTTGGCAATGACACAGGTCAAACGTTTTCTGTAAGTCTTCACAAGGTTTTCACACACTGTTGCTGGTATTTTGGCCCATTCCTCCATGCAGATCTCCTCTAGAGCAGTGATGTTTTGGGGCTGTCGCTGGGCAACACGGACTTTCAACTCCCTCCAAAGATTTTCTATGGGGTTGAGATCTGGAGACTGGCTAGGCCACTCCAGGACCTTGAAATGCTTCTTACGAAGCCACTCCTTCGTTGCCCGGGCGGTGTGTTTGGGATCATTGTCATGCTGAAAGACCCAGCCACGTTTCATCTTCAATGCCCTTGCTGATGGAAGGAGGTTTTCACTCAAAATCTCACGATACATGGCCCCATTCATTCTTTCCTTTACACGGATCAGTCGTCCTGGTCCCTTTGCAGAAAAACAGCCCCAAAGCATGATGTTTCCACCCCCATGCTTCACAGTAGGAATGGTGTTCTTTGGATGCAACTCGGCATTCTTTGTCCTCCAAACACGACGAGTTGAGTTTTTACCAAAAAGTTCTATTTTGGTTTCATCTGACCATATGACATTCTCCCAATCCTCTTCTGGATCATCCAAATGCACTCTAGCAAACTTCAGACGGGCCTGGACATGTACTGGCTTAAGCAGGGGGACACGTCTGGCACTGCAGGATTTGAGTCCCTGGCGGCGTAGTGTGTTACTGATGGTAGGCTTTGTTACTTTGGTCCCAGCTCTCTGCAGGTCATTCACTAGGTCCCCCCGTGTGGTTCTGGGATTTTTGCTCACCGTCCTTGTGATCATTTTGACCCAACGGGGTGAGATCTTGCGTGGAGCCCCAGATCGAGGGAGATTATCAGTGGTCTTGTATGTCTTCCATTTCCTAATAATTGCTCCCACAGTTGATTTCTTCAAACCAAGCTGCTTACCTATTGCAGATTCAGTCTTCCCAGCCTGGTGCAGGTCTACAATTTTGTTTCTGGTGTCCTTTGACAGCTCTTTGGTCTTGGCCATAGTGGAGTTTGGAGTGTGACTGTTTGAGGTTGTGGACAGGTGTCTTTTATACTGATAACAAGTTCAAACAGGTGCCATTAATACAGGTAACGAGTGGAGGACAGAGGAGCCTCTTAAAGAAGAAGTTACAGGTCTGTGAGAGCCAGAAATCTTGCTTGTTTGTAGGTGACCAAATACTTATTTTCCACCATAATTTGCAAATAAATTCATTAAAAATCCTACAATGTGATTTTCTGGAAAAATAATTCTCAATTTGTCTGTCATAGTTGACGTGTACCTATGATGAAAATTACAGGCCTCTCTCATCTTTTTAAGTAAGAGAACTTGCACAATTGGTGGCTGACTAAATGCTTTTTCCCCACTGTACAATTTCCGTTTTTTATTTTGTACAAATGTGCAAAAATGTCTAAATCAGTTTTTGTTTTGTCATTATTGCGTATTGTGTGTAGGTTGATGAGGGGGAAAAAACTATTTAATCAATTTTAGAATAAGGCTGTAACGTAACAAAATGTGAAAAGACTCAAGGGGTCTGAATACTTTCCGAATGCACTGTACATGAGGACAAATACTGGAAATCGCCTGATGTAATTTCCTTCAGTGTATAGAGTCCCAAGCCATACGTTTATGAGAAGTATGTGTACAAATGTAGATGGAAATCCTTTCAAAGTGTTCGACTAAATTCTAGCGCCAAGTAAGTTATGTTTAACAAAACATAGCACCATTTTTTGACCTGTTGTTTTTAGTGTCCATGTTTGTTGCGCCTCAAATGGCATCCTATTCCTTATACCAGGGCTGCCCAACCCTGTTCCTGGAGAGCTACCCTCCTGTAGGTTTTCATTCCAACCCTGTTCCTGGAGAGCTACCCTCCTGTAGGTTTTCACTCCAACCCTGTTCCTGGAGAGCTACCCTCCTGTAGGTTTTCACTCCAACCCTGTTCCTGGAGAGCTACCCTCCTGTAGGTTTTCACTCCAACCCTGTTCCTGGAGAGCTACCCACCTGTAGGTTTTCACTCCAACCCTGTTCCTGGAGAGCTGCCCTCCTGTAGGTTTTCACTCCAACCCCAGTTGTAACTAACCTGATTCATCTTATCAACCTGCTAATTATTAGAATCAGGTATGCTAGATTAGGTTTGGTGCAAAAACCTACAGGACAGTAGCTCTCCAGGAACAGGGTTGAGCAGTCCTCCTGCCTTATACCTACACTATATAGGGAAAGGTTTGCCATTTGGGATACACACTTTGTAACTAAGTACAGAAAGTGGCACACCGAGTGCAGTTTCATAAGTTTACTCCCTAGGCAGAAAGCTTATAGCCTGGGGGCCAGTCTGCTTATCTACTCCTGCAAACTCCTTATAGAACTGTCATGCCAAACATGACTTGAAAATGACAGCAATGGAGTTGGCAAAAGCACAAACAGTTCTGGGACCAGGCTAGAAAGCTTAGCCTGTCATACTATTAACTGAAACATTAACTTGAGGAAGGGTTATGGTTCATGCATAGTATAGTGTCGCTTCTGATGATTGATCATGGATTAGAAAGTCAAGATCTTGCTAGATGGAAGTGGGACTTTTAATTTACAATATGAAGTTCTTATGTATGACAATCGTTGAAACGGAGTCTACACAGAGTGTACAAAATATTCCTAATATTGAGCTGCTGCTGCACCCCCCCCCCTCCCCCCCCCCCCCCCCCCCCCCCCCCCCCC